CTGTACATGCAGGATAGTACATGTGGAAATAGTAATTGCAAGCCCATTATTATTATTGCTATAATTTATTATTAGTGTATTTTTTTTATTTTATGGTGCCCGCATGCACAGGTAATTCACAGAGAAGTGCGCTTGAGCCATTAGAAGGTGAGAAGGCTTCGTTAACTGCAATAGCCTTGGATCTAGTTTTGATGCCAGTTTCTGTCATAAAACTTCCTCCCTTTGACTTCAGGCAAATCACTATGGGGCAATTTCAGACAACCCTATTGTGTTAAATAGTGCTTTGGGAACAATTTCAACCATGAGAGAACCCTGCTCTTCTTTTTTGGCGAGGGGAAATTAATTCAGGTCCTCTTAATTCCCTGTGCACCAGATGATTGCCTTCTATCCAGTAAAATAGCCATACCATTTCGGGATGGGGGAGGGAGGGAAGTGAATGAGCTGAATTCTTAAACAGTTGTGAGTTGCCGACTGTGAGATAAGCCAGATGTTAAGGTAGATAAATATCTGTTTCGAAGAGGTTACCCTCTAAACAGAAACTACACAATGAATGTGATTGTCTTCTGCACTCAGAGTTGGGCTTTGCAGTAATAGTCACAGTTCCTGCCTGATTGTTGGTGATGGCAAAATCTGACATGGCTTTAACGGCCTCACTCTGGCAGGGTAGGGGGAAATGTTATCGGGCTTTGGGGAAAACGTCCAAGCTGGGTGCTGACTCAGGCGGTCAGTCCCACTTTTGCGACCAGGATGACGGATTGGTGCTAACATGACATCAGAAGCGCTCATCAAAAGGAGGTGGCTTGGGGCTGTATTCAGGCCACTGGCTTTGGTGTCTAACAGAGAATGAAGAGCAATTTAGATTGCCAGCGAGTAGTGACCCATCCAGTCATACACTCTTAGTTCACTTCTTGAATTGGTCATTGATCTCTTAAACACGGGCAGTTTGGAAAGTATCTCCAGCCCACCCAGGCAGCAGAGCTGGCTTTATACAAAGAGGGCTGCAGCCAAAGTCTTCTCCAACCAATGGCATCCAGCTGTCAGTTCAGTGGGTCAAATGTGGGTCAGTCGGTCGGTCAGTCGGTCTGTCTATCTCAGAAGGGCATGGCCTTCCACGCAGTGAGATCGGAGCAGCTAACATGAATCTTTCCAACTTCCTCATGTAAAGCTGTTTTTTTTACAGCTTTGCAATATGTCTGCAGGTTGTTTTCATGAACCTAATGTTTGCCAAAAAGTTCACAGATCAGTTACAAAACAGATATACTTTTTTTTTTCCTCCCCTTCTTCCTACTGGTAAGGAAGAGTCTGTGCAGTAATTGCAGGCAGGTTGGGAGATGTTTTCTTCATAATTCTCCTTCTTATGAAATGTTTATGAAACACCTTCCACAAATCGGTTACGCAAGGAAGCTGAAGAGCTTTGATCATTTTCCATCGCCCTCAATATGTGTCTTAGTTTGTTTTCCTTTTTGTTTTTGTTTTTAGGCCAGAGATAGGTAAGAAACAATCCATCATTGGCCAGGCCCAGCAGGCGCTCTAGCCAACCAAGGAAGGGACGCTACTTCCATCCAGTCACTCTTCCTATGTTTTTCACTTTGTTTGCTTGGGGGCAGCTGGCCCTATTTTAAGGCCGTGAAAACATCCACTAGAGATCTGCAAGTGTGATTCTATCCCAGAGAAGCCCTCAGTAGCTTTGTGTACTGGTGCCGCCACCTGCCGTTACCTCCTCGAGAGGAGCTCTAACGTGCTCCCACCCCTGCCTGGAGACTCCCCTCCAGCCCAAGGGGCAGCAACCTGTGGATCCGCAGCTGACAATATAGGCTCTGCGCCTCTCTTCAGCTGTTAGCGAGCACAATATCTTTGCACTGCATCATTTCATACCACTGTTTTGCAAGTGTATTTTTCCTTAGATTGCATAATTTCACCAAATCAAATACAGCGGGAAGAAACCTGCGTTTGTTTTCAGTGACTTCTTGTTCCCTGTTCCCCCATCCGCCTCCATCACCGTGTAAAATCAAGATCCTGGACAGTAGGATTTGGTTCTGATTTTGTTAACTAATTCACTGTTGCTCACTTGCAGGGTTTTATCATGGGTCTCCTGATATACCTAAGTGAGATGATTTTGTGACAGTTTCAACTTTCTTGGTGTCTGTAATGAACATTTTCTCTCACAGTTGCAGAAATTGCCTGCAAACGTGACTCGGATGCACTGAGAAACAAGGCGACTCCTGCTCTTGTTTTATTAATATGAAATTTACATTATTTTAAGTGAGTCTTATGATACTGAGTGGCCTCGCCCACAATGTGTGTGGTTTTTTGGGGTTTTTGGTTTGGGTTTTTTTAACATACAGTTGGTAATAATGCCGGTCTAGCCAGGGAAAAAATGAAAGTGAAGGATTTGCATAAACCATCCCAAATGTTGGGTTTTGGATATATCCCGAACTCACACTAATGAACAATTAGCCAGCTGCAGGCCTGCTGGGGAGAGGAAGAGGAGGGAGAAGTAAATTCGAGTCTAAAACCAATGAAAAAAGGCGGAGAGGAGAAGGATTTGTTGGGAACGCCCAGGTTCCCACCTACTGTGCAGGCGAAAGCTAGAGGATTCCAGGGACGGGGGAAGGAGCAGTGGGAGATGTTGTTGTTTTTAAATTGGGAACCAGTCCTTTGCCAAACCCACCTCCCGTTCTCATGTTGTGTGATGCCGGGATGCAGCTACACACCCCTTTCAGCCTGGAACGCTTCCAAATCACTCCATTTGGCAGCTGTAAAAATTGATTTCAGTTTGGAAATGGCTCGTGCTTCTTCAACACTCCACTCCTTTTGGGATCTTAACTTAGACGGGATCAAGTACTTTGTTCTCTAAGACGCCGATATCTTTTCTTTTTGGGGTTGTTCAGGCTTGGATGACTGCCCTGTATGAGGCAGACACATATGAATTGCAAGCAAGGGTAATCTATTTATTTTTTGTATTTATTTTTACTTTTTGGCTTGGATTACCTTTTTTTTAAATGCACCCTTGGAAAGAAAAGCAAGCATGCATAAAACCATTTGCCTGTGGTGACTGGATGGCTCAGGGGTAACGGTGTATTCTCCTGAGCCTTTCGTCTGACATTTAGTAACTTAAACACTCTCCGCATTGATAGTGATCAAGAAGCGATTTTTTTCGTCGGGCTAAGAGTGATGATCATGCCAACGTGAAAGGTAGGAAAGAACTGGAACTCATAGCATATATAAGTCTTTTAGCAAGGTGCTAGTATGATTGCAAAACTAGTTTCAGCAGCGTCCAGACCTATAGCTGTAATGAAAGGAGATGTTGTAATTCTTTTCCCTCTGCACAGCACCTTCTGCAATGCAGAGATCAATGTTTACAGGGCCAGCTCCTTGCACTGAACTGAGACCATCTTGGGCTCACATTTTCTCCTTCGGGCTATCTCTTGTGGAGCCTTTTGCATTTGTTTGCTTTACTCAGATTTAAAAAAAAGCTTCCCTGGACAAAAATATTCACTTGGCCGATTATTTCTAAAAGGTGAATTTCTTGTCCCCCTCTGCTGGTAGGAGGCTGTATGACCTAAAGCCAACAAAAGCGCTGCAAAACACGGGCAAACGAGGCTACTGATCTCTTTGGGGATGCTGGACTTTGGCGTTCTTTAATGGGAGGTGGTGAGGTTTAGCCCAGGTAGTAAGAGTGAGTGTGTGATGCTGAGCCCATGGACAGCATTTTCAAGACCTGTCCGTTCTGGTGCCTTCCTGGCTTTTTCAGTCTGTGGAAGCTGGAACATCTTCTCACGCTGGAAAAGTTTAGATTAGGAATGGGACTACTGATCTGAACCTTGTTCCAGGTATTCTCAAGCTTGAGAATAACCTGAGCCTGAGACTGGAAATTGCTTGGATCCTTTCTTAGAAAAGACATATTAGAAGAGATCTGTAAGACCTTTCTGTCTCCTGAGTGGCATCTGAGAATAGAAATTCTTCAGGGAGCTTTCTCAAACTTATTTAAAAACTTCTAAAATCTCCCAGACAGGTTTCCTAACCCTTCTTTCCTGTCCTAGTCAGTTTTACCTAGAGACTAGCTAGTACAAAGGGATATAACAGGTTTCTTACATAGCAGCGATGTGTTAAAAATGAACATGGAGAATATGAAATAAACCAGATTCAATGATTTAGTTCTTGTCTCTGGGTAAATATCGCTCTTAAGAATGTGGACTCAAAAGTCCTGATTTTTGTAGACAGGAGTTTTTCTTGAACATTAAAGTAGGGCAAAGCGGCCACTAGACAAAGGGCTGGTGCGCGCAAAGTTTGCCAGATTTTTCTCCACAGCTTGTTCTAGCTAAGGAAGCAGATTTTTCCTTGCCAGATCAGTACAATGAACTATTTTTCCCAGTTTTTGTATTTTTCTGGTAAAATCTGAGCAAACACTTTTTCATGCTTGCAGCAGTTCATTTCCAAATCTGGAAGATTATGCCACTTTTCAAGGTCTTTTACTCCCTAATCTTTCCTTTCCTGTTCCCTTATATCCCCTCACTGTTACCTGCAGAACAGAATGAGAGGTCATCTATAGCTAACCTCACTATAGGATTGTAACTGGTGATCTATAAAGGGGAATTGCATTCCATCTTTCTAATAATTCCACAAAACGTGGAACTGTCAGTGCCTTGTCTGAGGAAAGCACTTATATGCACACTTTAAAAGCTGCTAAGCCGCTGGAACTAGGGTACTGTCCAAAGTGCTTTACTTAATGTGCTTGAATTGAGCAAACTGCAGGCCCTCTCTTGGTTTGGCAGAGCAGAAAAATTATGCCCATGTTATAGACTGGGAAGCAGAAGCGCAAAATGACCTATGTCTTTCTGCAAAGCCAGGGATGGAACCGGCATGCCCTCACCTCTAGCCTTCCTCTGAAAGGAGTTCCCTATCTCTTCCACCCTCTCAGACCTCTTGCTGTCCTGATTTCCTGTATCTCCTTGTTTCTGTCAGTTCCCTAACACTACAATTACTTTGCTCTTTTCCAGATTAAAACCGAAGACCTCAGCGACTCCTTGCAATCTACAATTCCCCCCAGATCTGGTCACCTTGTACAGGGATCATCAATGATGCCTGGAAGCCAAATAGCAGGGGTAAGTGACTGTGCAAATCCAGGAATCCAGAAGTTCTAAATGGCCCTGATTAGTGAATCTCCAGAGAAAAGGCAGCTTTTGAGAGACACTTGCCAAATTAGATACACTTTTTGACAGTGGCAAAAGGAGACTTGAAGGTATGATGGACCTTAAATTGGAGAAGGTGAATCTGTTTTGGCAAAAGTCAGACGACTCCTCAGCCTCTTTTGCAGCAGCCTGTAGACCTGAGTAGTGCCTTGCCAACGGATGAAGAAAGTTCTATACGGGTTCAAAGGCAGACTGGACACATCCTTGGAAGAGATTTCCTTTGAGGGTTACTAAGTAGGCAAATCACATGAGGGTCAGGAAATCTCTGGAGCTAAAAATAGTTGGACACTGAGACAACACTAAGGGGAGGTGTTGGACATGTTCGCCCTGGTCTTCCTCTTTCCTGAATGTCTGATTAATGCCATTGTTGGACATCGTGTCCTAGGCTAGAAGAACCAGTAGAGCCATTCTTACTTCTGTTAGTTCCAGCTGAGTTACGGCAGCGAAGAAATTTGTTCCTTGCTGGATATTTTTTAAACTTAATGTAAAAAATCAGAGTTTAGCATCTAAACCTTGTTAAATTTCTGTGGGGCTTGGATGCCAGAAGGCCACACAGCTGCTCACTGATCTCTTCCCTCATTCTTGCACAGGGTATTCAGATCCCTTACACAATGCAGGGACTGCTGAAGTTCCCCAAGGCCTCACAACACTTCTTGAGAAGCTCAGAGGGCTCATCTTATTGAGTAATGAGCTCCTTAGAAAATGTAGCTCTAAAGAAAGTGGGTCTAATTAGGGCATTTTGCTGTCCCTCCCAAGTGAATGCAAATACTTATTCCCTAACCCCAACAAAGGACCCAGGGCTGGGATCCCTAGTCATGCGAAAGAGCGCTAGGATGCACTCCTTGTCTCTCAGTACCTATTGCCTGCACTGCTGATTGGAGACAGGGGAATTCTCAGCAGCTATGTGGCAAAGAGCAGGAGGTGATTTAGGATCTGTCAGCTGGGCCAGTCCACTGCAGCCTGTTTGCTCTTGGTGTTTGCTCTTGGTGCAGAGAATCAAGTGCTGATGGGCCTTGCTTCTTTCCCATCTCAGCACAGCCCTGGCTGGAAAATCAGCGTTCTGCAGAAAGCTGTCTCTCAGTGCTTGACTAATGGGTCAGCTGCATCTTCTCTGTGTAATGTCAGGGAGTCGGCTCTCTAAAAACAGTTTGTCTGGAAGGAACTGAGATCCAAAGGGTGGTGGTGTTATTTCTAACAACCAAATTTTTAATTGCCAGCCCCTCAAAAGTGTTGTTTTCAAGGATCCAATTTTTATTTCAGGTGAAACCAGACAATTCTCCATGCAGATGTCTGTGCATGCACAGAATTTTTCTTATACAGCTCAAAACTTTGGATCCTGGAGTAACTCTGGCTCTGTAGCTCACCGGTGGGCAGATTACACGCATGCAGTTTATGGGCATTTAAATGAAAAGTGGCAATGGTGTCAGGAACACTGTAAAAGAGCAGGGAGTAGGGGAACTTTATTGGAGAGGCAATGTTGTGCAAAGAGCAGACATTTTTGAGCTTTGTTGTTCCCTTTCCTTTTCCCTATAGGATATGAGCTCTCTTCACACCCTGCAGCAGCTTGTATTGCTTCCTGGTCATATGCAGTCAGTTCCCCAGTTTCTTCTCTCTCAGTCCCAGGCAGGGCAACAAGGTAAGAGCAAGAAAAGCTGAAAGGGGTATTGTTATAAGCAGATACATATCTAGCAAGAACCTCCCTTCTCATGGCTGTTGCTTTGAATCTGGTCTGCTACAATTTTCCCAGCATGATTGTGTCTGTTCTCCTGTTGTGTTACCAGACACATTGCCCCCAACTCTTCCCCCTGTGCTGGTTCCCACACCTGGGATGAGCTTTTGCACATGTAGATGCTGCAGGACGGATTCGGCTCTGGGGAGGCTCCTGCCCTCTGTGACTTGTGCGCGTCAAGAGTGCCACCTTGGGGCCAGTCTTTGCAGGCTTGGTAGGGCTCCCACCTCTGAAATTCAGGACAGCATCCAGTTGGGTTTCAGTTGGGTTTGTTCCAGAAAGCTAAGGAGCAGTTGAGCTGATCTAAGCAGTTTAGAGGGAGAGTAATCCAGGGAAGGAACTGAGATGCTCGGGTAAAAGGATGGTACTGGCACCAGAACAACAGGTCTAACCTAGCCACGAGCAACTTGGGGTTGGGAATGAACCGAGAGGTTTGAAACTGCCAGTGGTTGTTCCCAAATCTCACTCCAATTCATGGGGCTGGAGAGGATGGGAGACCTAAGCACTTTTGAAATGGAGTGTAACCAGCTTCATGAAAGAGATGAGAGGGTAGTGAGGACTGAATCTCATGCCAGAGAAAGTCCCCATGTTTCTATTTTTACATGTAACATTTCCTAGGGCATTTCTCAAACCACTGAGACACAGGCATAGCCTTAATGACGTTTTATGCCTGCTTGTGGTGGGAAGAACAGACCTTGATCTCATAACTTGACAGCTGCAAAAGGACTTGGGTCCTTTGCTCATGCCCTTGCTTTATTCAGGCACAAAGGTCCCACTGTATTGACCAAAATTCAGAATTAATATCGCAAAATGCCACCACCTTGAACGCAATGGTATATATGCTCTGAAAGAAAAGCATTATAATGTAGGCAAATTGAGCGGAAAACCCGTTTCTCATTGACATACATGCATGAACTCTTCTCTCTGCCAAATAATGCTGAGTCATGCATCAAGAAACCACTTGATATATATTTAACAATAATCTAGGATGTTGTTTCTTTGAACTGGCGTGGACAGGATTATCTATTGCTAACCGCCTGATTTATTCATATGTAATAGGAAATACACTATGCTAGAAATTAGAACTTGCTTCCTTTTATAGAGCTATAGTCTTTTCTGTTAAGTTACTTCCTTTGGCTGGCATGACCCCTCCAACAGATGGTCACTTGTTTGGGCATGACCCCTTTTGCTTCCAAACTTGATAAGGAATGAATATTCTGGAGAGTAGCCAGCTCTTTGTACAAGAGCACTTCCATTTGAATAGACGCTTGTCAAGTGTTAATGACCCTGTGCTGTGTGGATGCATAGGGAATGGAGAATGAAAGTGAAGGCATGGATCAGTTTTGTGGAATTGGTTGTCTGGCACGGGTACAGGTGGAGCATTCTTCCTATCAGCAAGATGCCTGAGATGTTCTTGAAATGATCCCTCGAACTGTCATGGGAACATCCCCAACTTTTCCTGAGTTCTGGCTGATGGGTACATCAGTTCATGGATTTCTCTGGCCAAAGGGACTTGGTTGTGGGTTCAGCTTTTCCAGGATTAGATGTTTTTTTGGTTTGATTTTAATGTTTTGAAGTCGCTTTTAAGCCAGAGAGATTCCCAGGTCTGACTCATTATGCTCTAATCTGATTCATTGTGCAGCCCTTCAAACAGCTAATGCTGGCACACTCGGAAAAGGGGGAGGTCAGAAATCTGTGGTATAAAGACTGAAAGAGGCAGCTAGGGAGACGCTGGGAATCCTTCGGCCAAAGTATCACCGCTGAAGACTTCATCTTACAAAAACACAGCCTCAGTCTCATCAGCTGTCTAACCAGAGATTCCTGAATCTAGTCCGTAATTTTCATTAGAGCTAGAGCTTAGCTTTTGCAAAGGAGTTCAATCATTATTTTAAAGACTCCAAATGATAGAGCATCCACCATGTCCCTAGGCAAGCCATTCCGGTGATTAATTACCTTCACTGTTAAAAATGTGTACCTCATTACCAGCCTGGATTTGAAATTCAAAGTTGTTCTGGCATTAGAGAAGGTTCATTGAAACACCAATCTAAATAAATAAATGGGATCCTGCACATTCAGATCTAAATTAAAGAAGGAGAGAGCGAGAGGAGAGAGGAACAGGAGGAGATTCTAAAGACGATCTTTTCTCCCTCCTGCCCCCTCTTTTTGGCAGAAGTCCATACATTTCTATAGATTTTCCTATGATTGTCAGTTAAAATCAATAGAACATATTGACTGTTTCAGGAAAGGTTCTGAATCCTTACTAAATTCTATAAGCTTCAACTGCAATGGACCTGCAGAACCTGACAACGTTTCCATGGAACTATACTGCTTTGGTCCCTGCTAAACCCTTTAGAACGTTCCCTGTAAGGGATACAGGCTTCTACATGGCCGTTTGTCAACTAAGCAATTACACCGTCTCCATAAATACTATTTTTTGTTAGCTTTATAGCTATCCCCTCTTTTTTCCTTTCATCATTTCGTGTCAGTTTTAGATTCCGAAAGAAAGCCAATTTATTTGAAATACAGTAGGGTAGAAAAGAGTCAAATGGCTTCAAAATGACACCTCAAAATGAATTGTGTAATAGAAAGCAGAGTGGATAGGTTCATGAGCTTAACAGTAAGATCAAGGTATTTTTAATAAAATAAAGTGGCTGAAAGCTGAAGTTGGCAAAGCTTTTATTGGAAACAAGATGCACCTTTTTTGGTAGTTACAATGATTAAGTATTGGGAGAAATCTCCACTAAGGATGCAGTAAATTCTCTGCTACCTGGCATCTTTCTAAAACCAAAGTTACATGTTTATGTAAAATATCTATGCCCTAGTTCAACCTCAGGTTAATGAGCTAGGTGCAGGGATCAGTGGGTGAAATATTTTACCTCTATCATTACTGTAATAATCCCTTTCAGGCTAAAAAGCCGTGAAAAGATCCTTTACTTTCTCATAACCCAAATCAGAGCCATCTGCGTTTGTAATGGCCAGAAGTCTGTTATTTTGAACAATAGCTGGCTGACGTTTTCCATTCAGAGCTTCTTGAGCCTTTCTTCTGCAGAGCACAGTATGATGTACAGCTGTCTGCATGCTGATGAAGGAGCTGGTCTGATCAAACGTGTCTCTTCTTCTCTCCTCAGCTTTGCAGCCAAACATCCTTTCCTTCCCTCAGCAACAGGGCAGCCTGCTCCTCTCCCAGCCGGGACCCAGCTTAGCATCACAGGTAACTCGCACTCAGCCTTTCTGGGCAAAAGGTGGACTGAAGGAAACCTGGGCACCACGTTAGAGTTCACCAAGGGGTCCCAGATCAACGGCATATTTACACGAGGCAAAATTCTTGTAATTCTGTGGTGTTCTAGCTCTTCTTCCCTCTCTCCCTTGCCCTCATCCACAGATGCTGTCCAGGTTCATAGGTTTAACGTGCCTTGCTCGTGTCCAGGCAGTGAAAGAGGTTGCCCCTTTACACGGCTCTTTGCTCCCTCACCTGCGGCTGCCCTCGAAGGGCTCAGTAGTCAGACTACTTGAAAGTTGATATCTGAATGGTAGATATACTATTCTATCTCTGCTTTTCCATCACAGCCCTCCTTTTCCCTATTTCCATCCTTTGATCCAAGATTTGCCTTATATGCTTTCTCCTCATTAAAATGTTCTGACCGCGGCTGCTTGCTTTCTACCCAGGCAACAGGATTCGATCAAAACAGCTACCTAGCAGGGCAAGAAATAATCCTATCTGCATGATATTTACCATGCTCTCTGGCACCATCCCCGACTCCCACATATGTGCACGAAGCTAGCCTGAAGCTAACCCCCTTTTCTTTC